CCTAAATCACTCGTACGCACAATTTAAGAACAAATCTGTGCGTACGAACGGTTCTTGCATGAGGCCCAATGCTTCTGAAATGAATTGGAAAAAAAATGTTGCACCTTCATGTTTGTCTGCCACTTCCTGTGTACCCAGGGCAGCTCGGGGTCTGGTTGATGCCAACTCAAAATATGAGAAGAATTTGGCACAGGAGATAGAAAAGCTTCAGAGATTGTATGGTGGAGGAGACCTTACATCTTTCCCTGAGTTCAAGTTTACAGGTGAGTCAACAGGTGGCTGTTTTTATTTGTGTTTAAGTACGGTTCTTTCATTTTTTTGTCATGACATGAAAGGTGTGGATTATTTGAAAGCCAGAGAAAATTAACAAACCTAATTTTGTGTTTTAGAACCCAAGCTGGATGACGTTTCCTCGAAGTGAACGTGAACCGAACTTTTCTACCATTTTCTGTACATCTGAACTCTGTAGTGTAATATGAACAGTATGCTTAATGTTGGTTACAGTCTATGTTTGCTTCTAGTTTTATAGAACTGATTCTATGCCTTTCACAAGGTGAGCCGAAAGATGTGAATAAAGCTTTAGGTAAAATGAGTCTGAAATATTTGCCTCCTTCCTTTTACTTTTTTACTGGATTAATGCTGTAGGTAAACCCCTCACCTCTGGTTGACCATTGACCCTGGTCAACCTCTCCTGCCCTCTTAAGATGAGACTACAGTCCTAAAGACTAAACTGTGTTTCCCATGTCTGCTGAAAGTCCAAATCAAAATATTGTCCTTGCTCTCTCTGGGAACATAATATGGCTTCAGTTCCCGTGGAACCTTGTTCCACTTTTAAAAGAATAAATAAAGCAGAAACAAAGCTATTTTTCTCCTTGTGCTGTGATATACACTTATGATGTTCCAAAGCTCTTGTTTAGAGTGTTTTATCATGTAATCAATTATGTTTGATACTTATGGGTTATATTTTTCATAGGTGATGTAATCAGTCAAGCTTTAAGCTTTCAGTTAATCAAACCATCGTCAATTCAAATGCTAGTTTGTGGAGTTTGTAGTATGTAGACATGTTTTGATGTTTTGGTTCTAGTCTGCCTGTGTTTCTCAGTTTCTCAGACCAGTTTTCCAAAACAACTCCATACACCTGTTTACACACGTCTTATCTTCCTTTCTTTCCCTGAGAGATGCTTGCTCTGTGAAAATGCTAAGTTCATGTGCTCCTGGCCGGTTCTTGGCACATCTCTGTTTTCTTGCTGTAGAAAAGAACTCCACCAGCAACCTCCCGCTCTCTGCAATGAAAATGCCCCACTGGTATTTTCAGCTTCTACTTGCGGCAATTCTTGCTACAACCTCCACAAGGGAATTTTCCAAAACTGGATTATAACTTTCATTTTTGGAACCACTCAGTGACCACTCTGTGTCCTGAGCTGCACTGAGGCAAGAGTCAGCCTCCTCTTCCCAGATGACATCGCTGATTACACTCTCCGTGTGTGGACAGAGACCGGACGACCAGCAGGCCCAGGTCATGTGTGTCCGACCGCCCCCTCAGGTGGACACTTAAAACGAACCGCTAACTGCCTTCCTGACTGAATCCTCAGTGTCTGACGACACGGTAAAGCCACATCAGTCCTTATCTGTCTGGGTCAGCTGAACGCCTGCAGTTCACGAGTGCTCACTGCTCAAAGAAAACCCCATAACTTTACTTGATTTGTGTTTGTCTCATATATCCTTCTCTCCACCTCAGTCTCTTTTTCCTCTCCCTCTCTCTCTCTCACACACACACCAAAGGTGTTTTTTTATGTATGCTCGTTAGTCTTATCACTTTGTTAATTTTTCTTAGAACTGATTAGTCTGTCAAAACGAGAGCTCGATTGTAACCTCTTTCTTATATTTTTGCTTTCAATAAAAGCATGGTTATGTTGTAACAGGCAGAAAACAAATTAATGACTCTTGTTCTCTGTGGAATGAAAACTGTTGTATTTCTGCCGAACGGGCTCCAGAACTTACACTGCTGGATGCTTTGTTTTCAGTATAGCATATTTCAGAGTGATAGTTATCTATGTATGTTATGTAGGAGAAAATGGGGAAAGCCTGCCCTCGTGTGTTCTTTTAGGTATTGCAACACATGCTTCATGATGTCCTGTTGGAGGAAATTACTGCAGATGTGTGTCTTTTGAGGTTGCATTGCAGGGTTTCCCGCAGCGCATTATAAGCCTGGCGGAGCTAAGCTTTGTTTACTCAGAGCTGACGTTGACGTGCGGAGCATTTGCTAAATTAGTAAAGCTAAAAAGCTATCGTAATGACCCTCAGCGTGTAAAAAATAAGTCATAGTCATCTAAAAACTCTTTAGAGTTCAATAATATGTTAAAAAAGGGCCAGCTGCAACTCGCTTGACCCAAACTTAAACACTACCTGGCTCCGTCTTCTCTCTGTCCCAGCCGGCTGCAGGCAGTGGGCTCAGCTCTCTTGTTCACTGACATGAGTAGCTCCTCCACCCCTGAACATTAACCCTTTAGGGCACAGACAAGGAGGTCCCAGGGCTCTGGGAGATCCTATACAATGTTGCCAGGTGCATGATAACTATCGTATTTGTACGATAATTTGGCCCTCTGTACGATGTACGATCAATAATCCCAAAAATCCTATAAAGTACGATAATTTGATCGCTCCAATTGTGTGACGTAATTGACCCAACACGCGGCTCGCTGACATGAGAGGTGGCGGGTTGTGGAACACAGCGGTGCTGATTTAGCGACTTCCTCGCTATATTTACARACTTTTCAGACCCTCTAGAGACTGTTATGCAGAAAAGTGACTAGTGAAAATCTAGCGACTGTTTTCCTGGTGTTATTGAGACAATGAGAGACTCTGCCGTGAAGGCATTTCTCCATTGTGCTGCTGAGAGCTCCTCCTCCCCGGTCCCAGAGCACCGACAGGAGGCTTCTTCACGCTGTGTCTCTCTCTGCTGCAGGTAGATATCCATCCCATCCAGACATGAAATGAATACTGCTGCTGCGACTGAACCATGATGGGATGTTGATAAAAACATTTCTTTTTTTGTCAAAGTTTTTTAAATTAAATTAACAAACCACAAACAAAAAACAAATTAACAAAAACACACACCCCTGAGAACCCTCCCATCCCTCCCCACCTATACCGGATCTACTAACAAAACATAAATACATCTTGTATTCATATATCAGACAATATAAGACACAGGTTTGTGTACAAAGAACCAATATTTGACCTTTACACAAAGTTATCTGAGGAAAATTTTTCCCCCACGTAGGATATAAATGGCTGTCAGATGTCAAATAATTTGTTTACAGATCCCCTAACAGTATATCTAATCTTCTCTAAATG